CTCTCTCTCTCTCTCTCTCTCTCTCTCTCTCTCTCTCTCTCTCTCTCTCTCTCTCTCTCTCTCTCTCTCCTCTCTCTCTCTCTCTCTCTCTCTCTCTCTCTCTTCTCTTCTCTCTCTCTCACTCTCTCCTTTCTCTCTCTCCTCCCTCCTCTCTCTCTCTCTCTCTCTCTCTCTCGCGCGCGCGCTCTCTCTCTAAACCCTCTATCTTTCTCTCCCCCTCTATGTATCTATCTCACGACCCAGGTCTAGCCGAGTGCCCTGCTCCAAAGGAAAAATAAGGCACGCAGCGATGTATAAAGAAATAGGATGTATTTTTACAGCTGCTGCTGCTGTTGCTGCTGTTGCTGTGGCGACGGCGGTGGTGGTAGTGGTGGAGGTAGAAGTGGTGTAACCTGTAACTTTGCCAGGCGTCTGTAACCGATACAACCATCGGCAACACCACGCAGGGACGCAGAGAACAAGTATCATCAGGAGTGTATTATTAGTTCCTGATAATATAGGCCTAGATATCTATGTATGTGTACTGTCTATAACTCCTCCTTCCCCCAGCAATGCGCTATAACCATAGTAACATGTAAACACGTCTTTCTGTCCAATATTGCCGAATTATTTCAGTTTTTGTTGGATCTTTATTTGATTTTCTCTTCATGATATTTGGCGCGGTATGCGTGCTGGGTGTTGTAGGGTAGGGTGGCCTATTTTGCTCGGGTTATGTTGACAGTATCGCCGTTTATGCCGTTATACGACGCACTAAATTAGAAGGGCTTCATCGGAAACATGTGTAGGTGGTGTGTTTCTATAGCGCAGCTGTGGGTTCATGGCTGGACAAGGCCCTAAGACGTTATTCACTTTCAGTATACGCGACAGGGGCTTATCCCGGATTTATTCACGGATTTTCAGATTTTTAGACTTCGGCATCACAAAGTGTTCCCATGAATTCCAAATCAGAGAATCTCGCACAGAGTTACAACATAAACTATTATAACACATATATTTTTATTGTTAAATATATGTATATATATATAGGCTAACAATAATACTAATATAGCAATAAAAATTATATCACTATGTTTGTGCTATATTTTTGCTGATATTATATTATTATAATAATTATTATTATAATTATTATTATCATTATTATTACTATTGTTATTATTATTATAACTATAATAATAATAACTATAAGTATAAAAAACACATGAACCTTTTCTGCTTGCGTTGCATGTTGTTGTTCTGTTGCATTTGTTTCTCTAATTCATTGCGCATGTCTTCTAGCTCTTCCTGCACTTTCTGTGTCTTATTCCTGACCTTCTGCAGAGCGTTCTTATGTGTCTCCCCATCTGCCTCCTTTTCTACCAGCTGCAGGGCTCGTATCGCGTTGTAAGGGTATGGTATCGTAAAGTATCGGGCTACGATTTAAGCGGAACTACGATAACAATCTAGCGATGCGTCTCTGACGAGCTAACTACTGGCTTTTATCGTCTACCTCCACGGTGCGTATAAAATGTCAATAACCATACGATCTTCATAATTAATTCATCATTGGTCTTCATTCATAGCGGGATGGATGGATTGACTTTTACAGATACGAACAGGAGATCATTAAGGCTTATGAGGACGTAAAACAGGAGCAGGTGGAGAGGGAGAAGTTACTGCGCGAGCAAGAGCAGTGGGGAGCCGAGAGACATCGCTTCAAAACGGAAATAGAGGTAGATCGCAGAAATCTCTATGTAGCATGAGCGAGAGAGAGAGAGATGGAAGTAACGAATGAGAGAGTGAGTGTGAGTAAGGAGGAGGTCGAGAGAGATAGAGCGAGAAAGAAATGGGACGAGAGGAAGGGCGAGGGACAGAGAGCGAGAAGCAGCGATGATTAGAGAGAGAGAAAGAGATAGATAGAGAGAGAGAGAGAGAGATAGAGAGAGAGCGAGAGAGAGATAGAGAGAGAGAGAGAGAGAAGAGAGAGAGAGAGA